ATTTTTACTTAAAGAAAACATATTAACTATCAACATGAAAGAAACATAACTAAGAAAATTAACAGTTTATATCCAAAAAACCTTTTGGGAATAAATCTCGAAAACAATAATAACGGGCAAAGCTGTTCTAAGTTTTCTTTGTATACATATTTCAATATATATATATATATATATATATAACATTTGTATGTATATTACATGCATGCGTATATTGAAATTCACACTAATCCATTATAAAAAATATTTGCTTTGTATACACAAAACAATCATTTCGCTGTTAAACAGGCAAACAATTTGTCAAATTTTAACAAGACTTAAATTAATACCACACAAAATTAATTCCGCCCACACAAATGGGTCTCGTGAACATAATACATAATCCCCTACATATGCACACAAACAATTATGTATGGTATAGATTTATTATATATACGACACATAGCCACATATGCCCGGCGACAATTCCACTGGCAAGCAAACTAGACATACTGCCAGCAAGGTATGGGAAAAAGAAAACTTGAGTTAACTTGAGTAACTGACGAACAGGAGCGGCAGAAGTCTTAAGAACAACTTAAAAATTCATTGCCTTCGTGATGACATTGTTAGAGGAGGTGAATGTGAGGGACTGCACTGCTCGAAACTGTCACCAAAGTAGTTGCCACATGCGCTGGTGCGTAGCATGCTTTATGCCACTTAAATCTTTAACCTAACCAAACGCTTGGAGGGACGGAAACAGTTGGGAAATATTTGCACGTCCATATGGACATACATACATACATACAAAGCCCTGTTGGGAAATAATAACACAAAAATTGTCCAACTGATTGCTTTCAACGAATAATAAATTTACGCTTAATGGAACGTTTTTCGAATCATAATTGTAACAGTTTCTTAATATCAATGAGCCATGTGCTTGCGGAAAACATAGTTAAAGCAATATTATTAAAATTAATAATTAATAAATAGAAAAATTTGTTAAAAACTAAATTAATTCAATCGAAATACAATACAAAAAAACTATGAATTTTGAATGCACGTATCAAAAAGATAAATATAAACAAAAACTTATTAAAAATTTTACAAAATATCGCTAAGACATTTTACGAAATAATTCCATGTTGTGGAAAATCGCTTCAGCGTTCACCAAACGCCACTTATTTTCATATATATGTACGAGTAAATAAGGAACATTTTGAAATATAAGTTTAAACAAACTTTTTTCCATTTGAATTAAAATAAAATTAGTAACACTCTAGCCGTTGTTGATTCGACTCCCATCAGGGACGGTTACAATCCTATAAGTTTAACCACACACATACACATGTATGTATTTGTATAAGTTAGATACTATACTATACATATGTTTGCAAATATGTTTAGGAAATAAAATTACTGAAGGATTTAGGTGTTTACCCGAATGAGGAGCAGCTGTATGGTACATCTAATGTACCGCCCTGAGTTTGGTTGATGTAGCATGCATGCAGATATTTCTGTATGTATGTAGCGTGATAACTTGATACGTGTGTAAGATGACGCCCATACGGGTTGATGTTGACAGTGAAAAAACTGTTGTCATGTGACAGGAATCAATCTAAAGTCATTTTATAACCCTGAAAGTCATAAATCTAACTTTAATGCTGGAAACGTGACTGCAGCAGCAAAGACTATCTAAGTCTAAATGGACAAACAAAGCAATAAAAAATATGTTGAGCAAAAAAGACGCAGTTCACTGGCATTGAGAAGACGGAAAATTTTATTAGTGCTTAAAAATGACAAGTTTGAAAGTGTCTTCATGCGTTTTTAATAGTATAATTAATTCAATGGAATGTTAAGATAATTAATAATATGTTGTATATCTGTAAGATTTTATTATAACGCATACATACATCAGAAGAATGACTTCCTCTGCCCAATATATATACGGAAATAATTAATTTTTGATTGTCTTCGATAAAAAGCATTTTTTTAGGTCTTGCAACAAATTTTACAAAATGAATACATGCAGAAAATGTGTATATATGTACATAGTATAAGATTATTAGAGAGACTGTTCATTTGATTGGTCACTATCAGAAATTGAAGACTTAGTATTTTTGGTAATAAAAATTAAATTATTTCTCATAACTGGAAATTAGAGTTTTTTGCTCTTTTAATTCATCGCAATATGCGAGTGTTTAGCAGTTTTCATCATAATTCATATAATGTTAATTTAAATAAACAAATAAAATAAATTTTTCAGATTACTTTTGATAGGGAAGGGGATAGGGTCGACTTCCGAATGTATTTTTGACATAAAATAATGGACTTCTCATTAAGATCCATCAGCAGCTCGGAGATGGCTAAGAAGAAACTTTATATAACTTCATTTGTCGGAAAAATATTTCAGGACATACACCGCCAATCTGAGCAGAAGCTCTGCTACTATTTTTTTAATTACCTATCTTTCTGAAGGGATCCATCCCAATAGAACTTCTCCGGCTTGGAGGTCAAGAATGAATGGAGCCAATTTCTGATACTCTGTTGTGAAGTGAAGCGTACTCCGGTGAGGGCATTCTGCTTTGATCTGAACAAGTGGTGGTGCTATGTCTGGTCTATAAGGCGGGTGAGGTAGAACTTCCCCCACAGTTTTCCAAAGTGTTTTTAAATGGCAACTTGTGGCCGAGCGTTGTCATAAGGAAAAATTATTGATTCGTATCTGGTCGCATATTCTAGTCGTTTTACCGCGATTGCCTTTTTCAAACGAATCAATTGTTTTCGATCGTCTTTGTTTGATCGTCTGACCCGATTTCAATAGCTGAAAATAAGGCACACCCTTGTGGTCCCAACAAATACATAGCATAACATTGGCAGTATGGATATTCGGTTTTGCCGTGGATGTCGTTGGTCGGCCGGGCTTTACATACGATCTCTTGTACTCTGTGTTATCGTATCGAATCCATTTTTCATCGCCAGTGACAATCAGATGCAAAAATGACTTCTTTTGGTTGCGCTGAAGCAACATTTCCGACATGCAGAATCGACGTTCGACGTCTCTTGGCTTTAATTTATGAGGCACCCGATTTCCAAGCTTCCGGAAGAGTCCTAATGGTTTTAATCGTCTTAGAAAGGTTGATTGATCAACTTCTAATACCTTTGCAAGTTCTTCTTGCATCTGGCATGCATCTGCGTCGTGCAATGTCTCCAATTCGTCGTCTTGAAATTTTCTTGGCTGTCCGTCGCCTCTCTTAGAAGCACGAATTAATGAATCTTAGAAGGAACTACATCCAAATTTCTTTTTTAAGATTAAGGTAATCTTTTTCCGCTTATTACACCAGTTAATGTAAGTTGCTGTTTTACGCCAAATGGAAAGACCTGCAATTTCTTCTAAGGCACTTCCAAGCGCCTGATAGGTTTTTATGACGATTTTTTTTTATAGCAGAAATATACTCCAAATTACGACCGCAATTAAAAACTTAATTTTCTATAATTTGGAATGTTAGTCTGCCCAGGTCATCTAGAGGGAGGTCCAAGAAACGTGCTGTTTCGATGGGATCTGACCATAGGGAAGGAGTCAGCTTAACGGGGCTGGTTAAGAGGAAGCCGAGCTGAGACGAGTGCCGTTGGCTATAATACATTATACAACAGGATCGGAATTATGAGCAACTCGTAGAGTTTGGTCTTTTTTTTTATCCAAAGCTTTTCATTTTATATTCGGACCAAAATGGCATGTGTTGTCAAAAGGGATGCTGTTTTCGGTATCCAGGCTGAAATTGTCATTTATGTCAGTACGAATTTCGATTACTTGTGCTTTAATATCGACAAAGAGGTGGGATTTCTTTATTATTTTTATTTGCTTCATGGTGAATATGCGCCAATGGTATATTTTCCAGCTTCAAAACCACACCGATAGGTTTCAATTAGCTTGTTGGCGATGGTCGTCAATCTAGATAATAGGATCTTATATTCGTTATTGAGGAGGCTTATCCGAAGAATTTTTGCAGATTGCGACTCCTTTTTGTGGATAGACAATAAACCCTTTGCGTTAAGCCGAATATGGTGTAACCCCGCTGGAACTTCCCTTCGTTTAATCGTGACTCAAGGCCCGATACCGGTTGGTCACTGCATCTTACATAAGAGTGTCCACGTTTCCGGGAGTGGCTTGTTGATGTAATTTTAATTTATGTATATTCAAGAAACCATATCAGAGTTTCGCTTCCTACTGGACTTGATGCATTTTCAGCATGAATACATTATCCTTTGATTCTTAATACATTCTTCCACGTCCATATCTATTTTTTATATAAGCTGAACTAAATCTACCTTATATATACAGTATATAATAATGATTCTTTACAAAGTTTCTTTGGGCATTCGCTACGTCGGTGCTCTACATTCACGGTGGCTACAAGTGCTTTATATTTTTGCCAGAATAAAGTTAGAATGGCGCTTACATCCACTCAAACTGTACTAGTCATCCTTTTTATCCCAGACTGCAGCGAATGGCAACTTTAACAGCTGAAACCAACATCCAGGTCGAAATAAGACATATGGATGCAAAAGCCACTGGCACAGCCGAAGGTAATGGCCGTAGTAACGGAAAAATGAGAAGAGGGGCTTTATCACATCGAGCATAACATACTCACGCAAAAATTTTCAGAGATCTGGGTGCTTTCCAACTCTCTCTAGGTAATAAGCAAAGTGGAAACTAAAAAGTTTGATTGCACCAAAATACTTTCTACCCTGCTGCCTCTGTCTAAACTTCGGATGTTGCAAAACTTTTAAACTTGAAGTGTATGAGTTTATCATGGTGGATGCCGACCATTAAGCGTTACATAATAGCGTCTTGTGATAGCATTAATTGAAGACAATTTAGTGTGCTTGACAGTACTCGTACTTGTGCGATAGCCTTTGCAGGAAATTTAACAAATGTCTAAGCATTATATGATGGTACATTATGTTAAAGTTGAATATATATTATTCGTCTTTGTATGTTTTAAGTCTCTACATATGTATGTACTTACAATTTCAGAAAAGCAGTTGTTTATTCGAACAATGCATGTGTTGAGTATTTAACTGGTGCTTTTAAAAATCTTACCTACAAGAAAAGATAAGAAAATACCAGTAATTAATTGCATTTATTTATAATATAAAAACATGGGTATGTGCGTATATAAAAGAAAATATATTTCACTATAACCACAGTTACAATACTTTAATAAAAATCAGCCTCAACAGAAGTTCTGAATGTTTAAGTTCATGGGTGTTTTGCTCGATGGCTAAGTAAATAATTCCACATACGCCGTGGAAGTCTTTTCTTGAAGTGAAAGGAAAGCAACGTCTTAGCGGGAGATCCTGACAAAAATCAAGGTAATTCAAATAAGCTGGTGTAGTATAACTGTGTAAAGAAACCCACGTAGGTAGTCAGTTATTGTTTGAGGAACATTTTTTTATCTAATCTCTGCCTTATTTCTCTGCTATTTATCAAGTCTATAATAATGGCGGTTCTATGAACACGGCACTAAACGGCAATGTCTGAGTCACCATTGAGTCAACTTGGGATGCTAGACACGAGTAAAATAATGCTACGCTAAACAGCAGGGTAAAACAGACGCACATGTGGTTTTCACCTGCTAACTGGAGCGGTGGAATGAGGAATGGAGGACGATTCCGACTCTATCTCGAAGCTGCGAGGCAAATAGTGATTAAAGAAGGCAATAGGAATTGGAAATTAAGAGCAGACCGAATTGCTGTATCATTTACGAATAGTGTGTACATATTTGTGGAGCGGTCTGTTGTTAAGAAGAAAATATGAAGTGAAACGTCTTCAGTGATAGTTCGGCGATAGCTCAGTTCGGTGATCTGTTTTCAGCCAGAGAACATAAAAAATATTGTAATGTATTAAATGCTACGTTTTCCTTTTAAAAATCATAGAATTTCGGCCCATATTTTTGGTGGTGGTGCGCGTTTCCGAATATTTCAGCTCTTCAATTTTCAGAGGTCCCAAAATTAATTTAGCGGCAGGGTGTAATTTAAAATCTATGTACATTGCAGTTTTGGACTTTAACAACAATCCCTTCACTATTAACGGCATTCAAACCAAAAACTCCTTTGACTTCCTTATAATAACAGACAATTATCAAATAAGATTTCAATTATTTGTTTTATTTCATAAGTTTTATCTAAAATTTCATTTTGACAATATCAATGCCATCTCGAATGGTTAAACACTTTTACGAAAATATTTAACTACGGGCATCCGTATTTTAATCTGTAAATTATTTGGCATGAATAAACAGAGAGTTACAATTTTAAAAAATTCACAAAATTCATTACACAAAACTTTATTTAAGTCGGTTGAGACGCTTGAAAGGTATTAAGTCACAAACATCCAAAATTATATACGAAAATTTTATTTGCCACTTCCCCTTTTCCAAATGCGGGCTAGCATCTACATTATAGCCAAATATCATTGATAAATTTTATTGAATTATGTGCAAAGATGTCTCGCCCCCTTTTGCCTTGGCCGATGCCTGAAAGGCATAAAAAAATAAGGTAGGTTTGAAAAGATGCAAAAAAATCAGATTGAACAAATCTAATGTGGAACAAGAGCCGATAATTTCTACTGCAAACAAAAAGCACTATCAAAAAATACACAAATAGCAGTACACAATTAGCCAGAGTCTAAAGAATTGCGAGGATTTACGCTCGATTCCTTCTTCATCTACCCATTTCAATGCAAAGTTGGCGCCAATTTAAGCGAACTCATGCATATATGGCATCAGACAGAATAATTTTCAACTCAATAAACAATTAGCATAATGCAAACACTGATTAATATTTTATGAATACTTTTGGCGCGATATATTGTAGGGTGTTCCTATTTGCTTGCTTATATTTTCGAAGTGTCCTTTTTAGGCGGTATTTAAAGCAAGTTTCATAATAGGATGAGATTTTTTCACCTCTAACGCATTGGATAACTCTTTATAACTAATAGAATGATGCAAACTTTTATCTGAATTTGTTTTTCCTGTTCTCCCTAAAATAATTTGCCTAAAATGTAATTAAATATTTTTATCACATCGGGTATTTCTTTGAAACTAACATTAAATATTGTATAATTTAAACAATAGTAAAACCGCTTTTATTTCAAATGAATTATTAAAATGTAATAAATCGTAAATTTTTTATTTCCCCCCTGCAATAATAATGCTCTTGAGTAGTTATTATAATTTGCACAATTATTGATAGTTTACATTTAAATTAATTACAAATTTATAAGCTTATCAAAGCTTATTTATGTAATGCCATAATAAACACTTGAAATTTGCCATGGAAAATAAAGGAAAGAAGATAAAAATAATTTATTGGAAAAGTAGTGTTTTTTTAAAGTAAAATATAAAACTCATTTCGACGAGTAACTGGCACCCTAATTACCAACTTATCTTAGCATATCTGCCTTTTTATACACTTAACTGAAATACCCCTGCAGGGAAAAAAACTGCTTATTAACTAGAAACCTACTGGTTTGCATTTGGCAGTAATCATATCAACTTCGAACTAAGTGATATGCAACAAATTTATTTCTCTTTCACCAGAAAAAATAAAAATAAATATGGAAAAGAGCGAGACTCGATCCGCACAAACAATAATATTCTCTAACAGCTAGACTATCGTTACGATACAGATAGCAACGAGATCTGAGCACCTCAACAAGGATTTTAAGGAAATTTATCACAGCCGTGGTGTGCAGATATAACAACGAAAAATTGTTGCAGAAATTATTGTTACTCGCTTTACTGGCGAACTGCTATATAAAAATATGATTTCATCTTCAAAATACTGGCAAGTAACTAGAATTTTCGCACACTAGATTAGCTTTTCCCTGCAGGGACTTCAAGCACTCACATACTTTAGCAAAATTCAAATTTGCATATGGTGGAAATAAATATGCGTATCAGTATTTAAAATCCAAAATACACACGAGTTGGCACGTTTGAATAAACTTTCGCTTTGGGGTGGCTTAAAAGCATGCTTGTCCTTTGTATTAATAAAAAGAACATTTAGGCATATTTTACGTGTACCGTTAAATATGGAGGAATATAATATAAATTCAAATACCGTTTTGTTATAAACGAACTGATTATACTAGTTTACAAATTTAAGGTTTTTCTCCATTCGCAAATTAAGGTTTTAGACAATTTATTATTTTTCCTTAATGATCTCGATTTCTCTTTCTTAAATTCTGTTAATGACTTTTTTAAAGATCAACTTTTACATTTACATATATATTGTTTTCTAACTTTTATAGGACGAGCACGCTTTGGAGTTTTTTGATTTCACATAAAACGTGTTGAACTTTTGTCAGTTGAAGTTCAAAAATATACCACGAGAGTTTGTAAGCTACTATATATGTATATATAAACAATTGAATTAACTTCTACTATCTTATTATCACTCTAATCACACATAATATACCCATGACCGTTACACTTTTACTTAAGTACCTGGCAAGATCGGATACGATCAAACATTATGTGGATCTACTCAACGGTGGATAAAGGGTGGAACCAAATTGGACGTCGAGCATACGCTACGCTACAAAATTCTAAAGATAAATCTAGGAATAAATATTAAATAATGTAATTCATAAAAATTGACACCAAGTAGCATAAGTGTCATAATTCTTAGAAATAATATCGAATTAAATCAAATTTTTATAAACAAATAACGCAATTGCGTTGTTGCTTCAAATGATCAATTTTGGCCGGTAACTAATGAATAAATTCTTTAATATTGCCTGTAAGTGCGTCAATCATTTTATATTCCTACAAAAGATAATCTAGATTACATGGCACCGTCTTATTGAAATCACACGTCAGTGAAGTCCAGCTACAAAGTAACGTTACGACTCATTATCTTTACCAAACAGCAATTTTTCAGGCATTTCTACTTATCGACGAAGTGGAGTGAAATGGCACAATTATTTCAAACGGTACCCAATCCATAACTCCCGGTCGTCATTATTACTGGCGGGTAGAACTGCTATACTTTTCTGTCAGGGGTGTTATCAAATCAAAATGCTGTTAGATTCAGAATGGAAATCGACAAAATAGAATAGAATAGAGTTTCGATTTTCTTTTCCAAACAGAATTTGTATCATTGTATGTGTGTTAAAGAAACTTATTTCCCGGTGTCGGAACTAAACCAAGCAGTTAATCATTTGACAGAGTCGTATGTTAAGTTCTATATAAGTGGAAATTTAATAGCATGCAAATCATGAAAAATGGGTTTTACAACCAGTAATGCCTAGAATAGGGTACTTGGTGGAAAAATCATTACCATCTCGCAGTTCTCTTTAATTCATTCTAACTTTATTCAGCTTGGGTAAATGAACTGTAGCTCGCCATTTGTAGTTGCCTTTTCCAAATCAGTGTCACTGCAAGTTAGAACACAGGTGGTATATACAGCCTATCTAACTTGTCTTCAATGACATTCAGCACTATTGCAAAGGCTTCTTTGCTAAGACGATATTGGTCTGTGAATCTACATACTGACAAATTTCGTTTCATAAAATATAAAAGTATTTAGAATGCAAATTGATTTTATCCCAAAATTGCGCTTTATTTTCTTACTGGCTTCTCAAAATCCTTCTATCATAAAAATGCTATCACGGCTGAAGTCATTTTATTTTTCATTCAAATTCACAAATGTGTTAAATCCACAGTACAACAATAAAATTAAATTGTTGGGTTTCTCGCACAATTTTGTCTCCAACTCCTTTGAAAATCGGTTTTGCCTATTTTCGGAAGAAGAAAAGTCCAGTCGGTTTCATAACATGAACAAATATAAATTTCTAATTCCGACAAACAAGCAAGTCAGTTTTGGTTTCTATTATACCTTTCAAATATAAATTTGGGTTAAAATTTAGTCACAAAATTTTTAAGAGCCCCTTCAGACGATCGACTAAACTGACCACGAAATTACGGAAGTCCACGATACTCTGCCTTGAAAGGGCATAAATTTTGTTAATATTACTCAATAATTTGGAAATTTCATTTAATTGTAACGGAACATGTTTGACAGTGACACAAAGTA